CTAATGTGCAAGGAATCAGGACGGAATCCTATACCCAGAAAGGAGTAAATCCTGAGAGGAATGAATCAGATCTACATATTGATGAATAAAATTGACTTTGTGGCATTCATTTGTGCGGTGGTAAATGGCACTTCACAAGTGGAAAGGAAATCGGACAAGTTAAAGATTATCGTAGAATGTGCTAACAAATTTCTCAAGTTAACAGGAGTTACAGCAGAGGAGGTCCATGGGATTTTGAAAGCAAAGGAAGGAACTGCTGCTTTGGATATGACTCAGAGTAATAAAATCCCCACATATAATAATTATACATAGTTGTATAATATCTTTCCTACTACTACATTGGAATGCCAGGAGCTTAATAGCAAATGGGCAAGAATTTAAAAAACATATCACAGAAATGGAAAAGGCACCAGACATCATGTGTATTCAGGAGACATGGTTAAATAGCTCCTTGGATTTTAAGATCAATGGATATGTAGTAGAGAGGAAAGATAGAGAAACTGGAAGAGGTGGAGGGTGTGCAACATTTATTAAAGAAGGCATAGCATATAAGAGAATATACAAAAGTAATAATGTAGAATGTGTAAGTATAGAAGTAATGGGAATACATGAAGAAATTAGAATTACAGATTTTTATAATGCAATGCAATCCATGCATAATCCATGCAAAGAAATAAGTAATACTGTATTAAGTGACGTGACAACAATCCCTGCCGGTACGAGACTCGAACCCGCAACCTTTGGGTTATGAGTCCTACTCTCTAACCATTAGGCCACAACTTCCCCAAAGAAGTGATGGGTGATACACGGGGTAAAATTATTATATGTGGGGATTTTAATGCACATAATGGTTTATGGGGTAGTAAAAATACAGACAATAATGGGATAGTTATAGAAGAATTTATAGAAGAGTACTTGCTTGTATGTTTGAATGATGGGAAACCAACAAGAATGGATATAATTAAAGGTGGCATGTCATGTTTAGATCTCACAATAACATCAGCTGCCTTAGCCGGTAAGTGTACTTGGACTGTACATGAAGATAATTTGGGCAGTGATCATTGGCCTGTAGTTTGTGAGATTCAGAGTGCAGTCCAAAGGCAAAACTTTAATCAGTGTGCAAGATGGGGATTTAAGCAGGCAAAATGGAAGGAATTTTATGTGTTGTGTGAAGAAAATTTCAAAAATATGAAGTTGGAAGGGAATATTGAAGAGAAATATAATAAGGTAGTAGTAGAAATTATTTCTGCAGCAAACCAGTCTATACCATTAATAAGAGGTAATGGAAAGAAAAAGAAAAGTGTACCGTGGTGGTCTGAAGAGTGCACAGTGGCAATTAGAGAGAGGAATAAGGCATTCCGGATTTTAAAAAGGTTAATAACTCAGGATACAGTTGTAGAATATCAGAAGAAAAGGGCAGCTGCAAGAAGGGTAATTAAAAGTGCAAAGAGAAAGGCTTGGCAGGAATTCTGTAACACAATTGGGAGAGAGACTGGAATGCATGTGGTATGGAGAATGATTAGGAAAATGAATGGTATTAATAATTATAAACAGATCCCTGTAATTGAAGAGGAAGGGAAAATAGCTAGAACGAATAAAGAAAAGACAGAAGTCTTAGCCAAAACTTTTGCTGAAGTTCATAGTAATGAAAACTTGAATGATAAGTTCTTAAAAAGAAGACAAGAGTTAAGTAAAATATATGAGAATGTTCGTATGAAAAAACAAGGAGTTGATAGTAATATGGATGAGGATTTTAATTCTTTTGAGTTAAAAATAGCCATTAACAATTCAAAGAATACAACGCCAGGGAGAGACATGATCAGTTACAGTATGTTAAAAAATTGACCAGAAGTAGCCGTTAAAGCATTAATGGATTTATATAATCATATATGGAATGAAGGCACCTTACCCAAAGATTGGAAAAGTGCAATAGTGATACCAGTAGTGAAACCAGGTAAAGATGCATCAAAATCTAATAGTTATAGGCCAATTGCTCTTACATCTACATTATGCAAGGTAATGGAGAAAATGATAGTAAGAAGGTTGAATAATCTTTTGGAGAAAAAATAAATATTATCATCAGCTCAGAGTGGTTTTAGGAAGAAGAGATCAATGGATGCTCTGATATTATTAGAAAATGATGTTAGATAACTGGAGACCTATATCTCTCCTTAATATAGATTATAAGATTCTGGCAGCCGTGTATGCAAATCGTCTTAAACAGTGTCTGGAAGAAGTAATTTCAGAAACACAGTCTGGTTTTATGAAAAATCGACATATTTCCAATAACATTCGTCTCATTTTAGATTTACTAGATTATTCTGATCTGGTTAGTAATGATGCCCTTATTCTTTTTTTGGATTTTTTTAAAGCATTTGACACAATTGAACATAATTTTATTTTTAAAGCTTTAGTTAATTTTGGGTTTGGTAATAATTTTATTTGTGTTGTTAAAACTTTGTACAATGATATTAATAGCTGTGTTTCTCTTTCCAATGGCACTTCTCCAAGATTCTATGTTAGCAGACGTATTAGACAGGGATGCCCCATTTCTCCCTTCTTGTTTTTACTCGCTGCAGAATTATTAAATCTATATGTAGTTAATTGCACTGGTATCAAAGGAATTCAAATTGAAGAGGAAGAATTAATCATAAGTCATTTGGCCGATGATACATGCATTTTTTTAAAGAATCAGTGTCAAGTAAATTTGATAATTCAAAGTCTAAATAATTTTTCCAAAGCCTCTGGATTAGTAGTTAATGCTAAAAAAAGCAAAATAATGTTTATTAAAGATTCTGATGTGTCCTCTGTTGATGGAATTTTAGTAAAGGATGTTGTTAAATATCTTGGTATTTATATCTGTAAATCAGCCCAAGAAAGAATTTCTTTGAATTTTCATCCTAGATTAGATAAGCAACAGTGGAGATGTTTATGCTTATGTTGATTTTATTAATAAATATGGGATAAATGCTTCAAAACGGGACTATACTACTATTACAAATTCCATTTCTCCTAAGTTGTTATTTTTAATGAAGTCTTTTAAAATATATTGTAATTTTAAGTTGATTATCCCTCGATTATTTATTCAAGGGGTTAATATTATGGATAATAAGTGCACAAACAAATTTTTGAGAAACTCTGTTACTACTAATAATGCTTAATCTTTTAAAGCTTATGGAAAGTGGTTGGCACTTTATCCAAATGTTAATTTTCAGAAAGCATGGACAGTCCCAAACAAATTTTTATTTAATAATAAAATAAAAGAAGTTCATTTTAAAATTATTCATCATTATTACCCCTGCAACAAATATTTAAGTAAATTTATACAAAATCTTTCTCCACTCTGTTCTTTTTGCCAAGAAGAGGAAGAATCTCTTTCACATTTATTCTATTTCTGTCCTTATACTAAACAATTCTGGCTTCAAATTTCAGCATCTTTACTTCTTGTATTCTTTCGGCTATGTAACATTTCAGCAGTTAAGGTTCTCTTTCATTCTGTTGTTTCTGACAATAGGGAGCTAGAGGATGCCCTGGACTTTATTTGTATGATGGGAAAATTCCACATTCACAAAGCAAGATGCCTTAATTTTAAACCTAATTGTAAAATATTCACTTCTGATTTACTTTTGTTTTACTCATCACTTCAAAAAATCTCCTCTAATAAAAAAGCCTTAAAAACATCCAATCTTATAAAAAAAATCATAAATAAGTTGTAACTTTTATGATTGTAAAATAATTGTATATTTGTTTACCTTTTAATTGGTTTTGTATCCCCCATGTGTTTATGTATATGTTTATGTTCCTGTTCTAATTTAAAAAAAGAAAAAAAGTGCAATAATCTTCCTCTAGGGGGCGGTAAACGGCACAATCTTTGTAATGCTTTGCAAGCTTTTTCTCAATTTTTCCATTTAAATAGCTTTTGTTGTGCTATAGTTCCGAGAATAAAACCAACATCTAAATGTTCTTTTATGAACCAGTAATAAGACACACCCCTTAGGTCTGAGATTTATTTTTTATACATTTCACAAGTGAAGCATTTAGATGGAATAATTGTGCTTTTTAGTTGTTATTTTTAATGAAGTCTTTTAAAATATATTGTAATTTTAAGTTGATTATCCCTCGATTATTTATTCAAGGGGTTAATATTATGGATAATAAGTGTACAAACAAATTTTTGAGAAACTTTGTTACTACTAATAATGCTTCATCTTTTAAAGCTTATGGAAAGTGGTTGGCACTTTATCCAAATGTTAATTTTCAGAAAGCATGGACAGTCCCAAACAAATTTTTATTTAATAATAAAATAAAAGAAGTTCATTTTAAAATTATTCATCATTATTACCCCTGCAACAAATATTTAAGTAAATTTATACAAAATCTTTCTCCACTCTGTTCTTTTTGCCAAGAAGAGGAAGAATCTCTTTCACATTTATTCTATTTCTGTCCTTATACTAAACAATTCTGGCTTCAAATTTCAGCATCTTTACTTCTTGTATTCTTTCGGCTATGTAACATTTCAGCAGTTAAGGTTCTCTTTCATTCTGTTGTTTCTGACAATAGGGAGCTAGAGGATGCCCTGGACTTTATTTGTATGATGGGAAAATTCCACATTCACAAAGCAAGATGCCTTAATTTTAAACCTAATTGTAAAATATTCACTTCTGATTTACTTTTGTTTTACTCATCACTTCAAAAAATCTCCTCTAATAAAAAAGCCTTAAAAACATCCAATCTTATAAAAAAAATCATAAATAAGTTGCAACTTTTATGATTGTAAAATAATTGTATATTTGTTTACCTTTTACTTGTTTTTGTATCCCCCATTTGTTTATGTATATGTTTATGTTCCTGTTCTAATTAAAAAAATAATAATGATAATAATAATGTCAAAAATAAAAAAAAAACGTATAAGTCTGCGATCCGCCGTACAGCAAGAAGAAGAAGAAGAAGAGTCCATGCGAACAATAGGTGGCGGTACTGAACGTTGTAGGTTTGTGAACCGCCGTTAAATAAAAAGAAGAGGAAGAAGACAGTCAGCGGTGGTGGTGCACGCACTGTGGACAAGATGGTTACCTCTATGTGGCGGATCACTGGGGCAGTGAATCGAGCTCTTATTAAAGCTGGATACGTACGTATTGCATGGCTTTGGAATTTTATACCGGCGTTAGGAATTTCAAACATTACATTTAAATACAATAACCAGTTACCAGTCGATCTCTATAGTCACAGTGACTGCCGGGGTACTAGCTGATAGGTCAGATACACTAAAGGTTAGATGTCTTTCCCGGGTGTAAGTTTTGAGGATCAAGAGACGAGTTATAAACAGTTCTGTAAGCAAGTCGCTGTGTTACTCTAGAAATTTAAATATTGCACTTATATGTTTCTTATTCTTTATGTTAAGGTTAAGTTAACCTGAAATTTGATCTGACAAGGTCATGGAAATCTGACGTCACCCGGAGATATATAGATTATTTGTTCGCCTTGCTCTGTTACTGTTAAACTGTAGACATTAAGAGTATATCTTCGTACTGTTTGTGACATTTTCCTTTCGTTAATTTGAATCAAATGACAGAAACACGTTAGACTGAGTGCCGTGTCCTCTATGTAGCAGCAAAAACTACAACCAAAACAGCATGAAATTTGGTTTGACGAACTAATTTCTTGACTGTTAATAAATAATTTTCTATAAATATGTGAGTCAGTTACATACAAGCATCCACAATAGGAAAAGGTAACGTTCTCAGAAATGTAGGCATAGTTCATGTCAGTTTCATATGGTTTTGAATAAAAATGACTCATAAATGTAGTCAAATGTAATGATATTTTATCACACCTTAAATATGTGTATACATTTTATTCATTTTCAGAAAAAGTCAAATGTATTTTTTCATTATTTATATATATATATATATATATATCCACTGTATATATATATATATATATACTATTTCAGATGTTATCAATCATTAATTCATAAATGACATTTAGTTTCGCACAACATGACATTTTACAACCTTAACTGTCTTTGTCTGGTCATAAAAATATAAAATGTAGGGGTCAAAAATACATAAAGTCAATCTGTAGCAAGAGCTTTTTTTCAGTCCGCTGTGTTCTGTTTTTCCTGGTTTTTATGAATAAGGCAGGCAACAGTTACTGTGAACTTGGGATCTGGTCTTCTGATAGAGTAAATAATATATCCCATGTGTAACTAAAAGGAATGCCCGAACCTTTAGATTTTCTCACCAAGTTCTTGTTTCTTTCCAGGTTTGTTTTCACACATGTGCTTTAAAACATGATTTTCTCCCCCTTTCACTTCTAGTTTAGTTTAGTTTAATATAACTCTAATTCCTATTAGCAGTGTTTATTGCTGAAAAGCATTGCTATCACAGGAATATATAAAGTTTTTTAAATATTTGAAAACAGTTTGCATCACATCTGTATTGTTATAATATTTTACAATATCTGGCGTATTTAAAAAAACATTAAAAATATCTCTGGGTACTGGGCCAAATCAAACACTTTATTCAAATCTTGTCATATCAGTCAACCTCTTGTCTATATCATTGCTTTAGTCTGTGAATTTTTGGCTTGGTTTTTTTAAATTAATACAAGGAAATTGCACCATATACTTATTTCTATCTTTTTCTTTATTTTAGCCTCTTCTGCTGTCTCTGAGACGAGGACAGGCCTCTGTGTCATATGCTCAGAGCCTGCTAGGAGCTCCAGAAACACGGCTAACTACTCTAAGCAATGGCTTGAGGATTGCCTCTGAAGAGACCAACCAGGCCACATGCACGGTGAATAGCTGTTTTTAGTCTGTACAAATCAAATTTTTAGTACCTTAAATATAACATTTCTAATTTGGTAAAAAAAAAAAGTCAAATAAAGTGAATGTTGTATATGTTTCATAAAAATAACAGGAATTGAAAAAGCCTGAACAACTGTACTTAAATTTGTCCATTTTCAAATATTTATCCCAAAGGAAACTCAGAAGTAAATCAACCTGTACTGCTGATGTAATTCTTTGTGCTTTTCATCTGTCTGGCTTTGCAGGTTGGCCTTTGGATAGGTTGTGGGAGCAGATATGAGTCTGAGAAGAATAATGGAGCTGGATTTTTCCTGGAGCACATGGCATTTAAAGTATGCAATAAACATTTACTTGGCCTCATTCTCTCTAAATGAACGTTGTTACTAGGGCTGGGTGTTGCTGCTTCACGATCATGTCATGATATGGCACGAAGCATTATATTATCTTAATATCATATTAGATCTTGATTGTTACCACTCAAAATTTCTTTTACAGTTTTAATAAAAATGCAGAACATTTTATAAAAATGCAAATTTATTTTAATGAGAAAAAGCAAATTGAATATTTACTAGCTTTGCCATGGTATCTCTGTGTGAATTTTTAACCTCTGGTTTGGAAGCTGTTTGGAAAAGAGTTAAAGTCTTTAATTTTTTTAAGTATAGTGTAAACTTAAAGGGCTAGTTCACCAAAAGATGACAATTATGTCATTTTACCCACCCTTCGCTTGTTCCAAACCTGTATGAGTTTCTTTCTTCTGTTGGGCACAAAATAAGATATTTTGAAGAATATTAGTAACCAAACAGTTGCTGGTAGCAATTGACTTGCATAGTATTTTTTCCATACTATGGAAGTACATGGCTACTGGTAACTGCTTGTTTCCCAACATTCTTCAAAATATCATCTTTTGACCTTTCTATATTGCTTATTAGGGCGCGTTCCACTTTCCTTTTTTATGCCCTTCCCTCACTAATGTCCCTCCATCTTGTTGACTTGGATGTACGCCATTGCTTACATTGTATGAGTGACCTTTGCAGTGGGTTGAATTGTAACGTCATAAGCCCTTGATTACTTGGAATCTGCTATGGAGCTGATTTATTATTTATATTTACATTACCATTATATATGTCTATAGGTATGATTGGGCTGTATCAGTACAATAAGTATGTCACAATCATGTTGCATTGTGGTATGTAGAGCTACCTCAAGTGTATATATGAATAGACTTCCTCTTTCAAAACTGAGGGGTCGAGGGTCTCTCCAAATGGAATGCACATCAAAATGGCAGCAGGGATTTCCCCTAGAGGAAGTGCTTAGGGAAGTTCACGAGTGTGTGTCTAAAAGTGGAACGCACCCCGAGTGTTCACATAGTGGGAATTGTAAGGTCAGGTTGTGATGACATTTGCAATAATTATTGAGTTCTAGGACTTCATATGAGCACATGATGTAAAATGCTGAATTTGTTTATTGTTGGAAAGAAAAACATGAATATTGTTGATTGGAATTGGTTGTAGTGTGAAAGCAATTTAAAAACTTTAATGCTGTTTCACTAATTTGAACGCTGTTCTTTCTATTCCAAACCTTTCTTGGATCAAGGGCACAAAGAAGCACCCACAGTCTGCTCTTGAACAGGCAGTGGAGTCTATGGGAGCTCACCTGAGTGCATACACCTCTCGGGAACATACTGCTTACTACATGAAGACCCTTGCCAAGGACTTGCCTAAAGGTTAGAGAACGAACAAATAAACTATTAAAGTGCCCCTATTATGTCATTTCAAATACAGTGGTGTGAAAAAGCCCCCTTCCTGTTTTTTTAATTGTTTTTTTAAGTGTGACAAATATGCAAAAAAATAAAAAAACAGGAAGGGGGCAAAAACCTTTTCACGGCACTGTATTTCCTTTCATGCAGTGTGTAATGTAGCTTTATGTGAATGCAAATTATCTGCAAAGTTGTAAAGCCGAAAGTGCCATTATATAGAAAAAAGTTATTGTCTCCCAAAATAAAGAATTGAGTCTGTACAGCCTTAACGAGTCGTTAAAAATTCGAATCCCGCTTCCGTGATGACTACGCGTCACGGGGTTAACACAATTGCATAATTCCCAACAACTTGACCCGCCCTCAAACACGTAATTTTACTGACAACTGCTTGTCTAATCACGGGGAGTTCAATGCAGGATTCACAAAACGCTTGCTCTTGAAAGATGACTCAGTACCTAGTTTATTTGGAAAAGCTGTCTCCACTGAACCACAACCTGTATGATAAATAATAGATGTTTATATTGTCAATTCAAAACATGGATCATTTTCGACACGCGCTGTACGTGGTAAACCAATCACAACAGACTGAGCCATCTGACCAATCAGAGCACAGTAGGCTCACGGAAAGGAGGGGTTTAGAGAGACTGAATCTTTGAACTGCTTTTAAACCTATTGTAGGATACTCCCAAAACAATATTAGGAACTTAAAAAATGGCATAATAGGGGCACTTTAAAATAGGCCAATTTCTTCATGCTAATGTGGATAGATAAATGGATAGATTGTTCTAGATGAGCTCTAGAATGGAGTATGTCATGTTGGCATAGATCATGTAGTCTTTCTCTGAATAATCTGGAAGTGTTACTCTTTCTTTTTAATGTCATCTCTTTATTGTGTTCCTTTTAGCGGTGGAGCTCTTGGCAGAAGTAGTGCAGAGCTCATCTTTGAGTGAGGCTGATATAGAGCAGCAGAGGAGTGTGGTGCTAAGAGAGCTGGAAGAGGTGCAAGGTAGCTTGCAGGATGTTTGCCTGGATGTGCTCCATGCCACTGCCTTCCAGGGTACTCCTCTGGGCCATAGTGTTCTTGGTCCCTCTGCCAATGCCAGGTACATACGTAGCCTCAAAATAATGTATTTCATATGTTACATATGCTTGCACTGTAGATATGCTGACGTTTTGTTCGGAATACATAAATGCACATGTAAATGAAAATGTGAATTGCATTGCAAAGTTTAGGGTTCATATAAACAGAACTTTCGAAATCTGAAATCGGATTGGATTCATTCTCATTGATGAAAATTAGTGATGAAATACCTAATGAAATATGTTCCTAAAGAATTTAATGGAATGTTTGTTTTTTTTGCTATTTGTATTTTCAAGGACACTAACTCGTAATGATTTAGTGGAATACATCAATAGCCATTATAAAGCTCCTCGCATGGTCCTGGCTACAGCTGGAGGTACTGCTCTTAAACCGTTATCAAACTTGTCATACAGTAGTGTTTTAATAGAAAACTCACAAAGCTGAGTTGATTGATTATCTCAACTCTCTCTGTTCTGCTGCAGGAGTAAACCATGATGAGCTTGTAGGTCTGGCTAAGCAGCATTTCAGTGGCGTTTCTTTTGAATATGAAGGTGATGCTGTACCTGTTCTGTCCCCATGCCGTTTCACTGGGAGTGAGGTAGCTTATAAATTGCATGTGTGCATGAGAGGGTCTCAGGTTCTTGCCGGATGGATTGATTGACTTTCTGTTGGTCTGATTCTGTCTTACTTTCAGATTCGTATGCGTGATGATGCATTGCCCCTAGCACACATTGCTATTGCTGTAGAGGGAGCTGGAGTTGCAAGCCCTGATATTGTGCCACTTATGGTTGCCAATTCCATCATTGGTAGCTATGACATCACATTTGGGGGTGGCAAGGTTAGTTTATAACTTAGCTTAAATTTTAATTTCCTAAACATTTGTTTAGCTTGTTCAGGGATTCTCAATGTTTCTTGAAATCTTTCACAAGTTAAGATTGCTCCTGGAAAATCAGTATAAGGATTTCACCTAAAAGCTGTTATAAAATGCACAATAATCTTTGTGCTTTGCTCCATATCTTGAAAGTAGAAATGGAATAAGCAGGATATTATAATCAAGTATGAGAATTAATTCTGTTTTAATGAAATGCAGCACAGAGCAAGCTTAAATGTTGTCATTGTTAATCAGTCTCTTGATTTCTTCACCCACCAATTAGGCTTGCTGCGATATACGGTGTTTTCGGTTATACCGGTGTTAAGACGCAACACCGGTTACGTCATTTGTCTACCGCGGCACCGCCCCCCACCGTCGTTTTGATTTTTTTATAGTAACAAAAATCATTTAGCCTAGTTCAGTTAGAGGACAGACACATATTTTAAAAACGAAACGCTCAATGCAGCGTGCCGAAGTTTTTTTTGAAACATTCGTTTTTCTTATTTATTTGGTTCCACAGTGTTTGCTGATTACTTTATTTAAACTTTGTGTATTTTATTTATTTTATTTTACATCAAGGTGTATATGCCGTGCCTCCAAGCTTTCTTATTCGTTTTGCTAATAAATGTTCTATGTTTCTTATTTATTTGGTTCCACAATGTTTGCTGATTTTCAGTTTTATATACCTATTTAAACTTTGTATAGCCTAAGTAATTTGTTATTTTATAGGGATAGGCCTATATGGTGTTTTTTTTAAATTCGTTTTGTTAAAAGTTCTGAGTTTGACGTTGCTTGAATTGAATCAACGCAGAATTGCCCCTCATTTGAAAG